GAAAAAAAATGTGCGATTAAAATGCGATTAATCGCGAGTTAACTCAGGCATTGATGCGATTAAAAAAATTTAATCGATTGACAGCACTAGTTTTAACATAAACAAAAAATTAAAAAAAGAACTTCCCCTTTATAGAGCCAGGATTAATATTTTCCTCTGCTTCATATTCTATTTTTTAAAGCCCCCTTGATAAAGCTTTGGTTATCTTCACATAATCTTCACAGCCCTACCTTAAAATTACAAAACAAAGCTCAACTTCCTTGTTGGGCTGCAGCCAAAACAACCTTACTTAAGATTTTGTCTTAAGATGGTTATAAGACCTAACAAACGCCTTTAGGAACGATCCTATGAATTATTTTTTAATCATTTGTCCTGCTGCATGTCTTAACAGATTTTTGATATACAATACTTCAATGTTTTCTTTTCTAAAACCATTTTTTAATAACCAGACTGAACTAAATTGATCCCAAAAATATATCAAAAGATCCCTTTAGGCACTACTTTACTCTCATGGAAAGAAGTGAGGGTAATTTTAAAAAGATAGTCGGTGATTAAACCTGATCTCATTAAAAGTTTAATTAATGAGGTTTTGATGCATATTTAAATCCGTTTTTTGTTTTTTCTCAACAAACCATTTGTTATTTTAAAAACTGATCTTAAGAATCAAACAAAAACGTGAAATGTTCCACTCATGACTAGTTATCTTACATGTCAGATGATCTGAAAAAGATGGAATCTTTTATATTTTAAAGCCTCCAGGGAGCGCAGCCGGTCGAGCTCACTTCCTGTGCAACTCCATCAACCGTTTATCTTTGAGCATCAAACATGCGCAGACATCAAGAACTTCACATTTTATAAAACTCTGATAGGTTTAAGGACAAACGAGTCAGGGAAACTGGCCAACGTGACACAGACATAAGCTTTTAACAAAAACACAGAATGAAAGGGCTTATGTGAGAGTGTTCCCCCTGCAGTTGGTCCAAAGTTATCTAACGCCGTCTCTCTATGTACTACCCACTGAGCAACATCTTCTGAGGTTAGTTTACCAACAATAGAAGTCTTTTAGATTCAGTTATGTAGTTTGCAATCACCTTTAAAGGAAAACACACCTTGTATCACTTCTAAAACCTTATCGATACACAATACGGTTAATGTGATCTTTATCAGGTTTTAAATTTGTTTTGACATCTAATAGATTGGGAAATAAAGGGTAAAAAAACCCAAACAAAACAGAGATTCCAATTTTTTTTTTTTTATTATCCTAAATGTAAAGGCTGTGGGTTTAAAAATATATTTAAACAATCTGGTTTGACAAAAAAAAGTGCAACTACAAGTTGACAAAGGAAAAGTGAATTTTCTGTGCCGATGCATTAAATCAAAAAGAACATAAAAAAGAAAATAAAGAACACGTGACTCTTAACCTGCTGTTAGCAAAGAGAAAGGGAAATTTACTTTAAGATATAAGACAACAGAATAGACTGGATCAGCCTTACAACATCACTGTGTTATTAGATATTTTATAAAATTCAAAAGGTGATATGAAAGTGGTGTATTTCTGAAAAGGAAAAAGCACAAAATAAATTTTTATTTTCACAAAAATATCACTGAGATGAACAAGAATAGAGGAAACGTCCTTTTTCTCCTTCCTTTTAATAGTCAAGTATATCTACACGTTAGGATGCAAACTATCCTGCTTTATGGCACTAGAACCTGACTTTCCCGACTTCCTCTTTCACCATCTGCACAGACTATAACCTGCAGTCTTGTTTTCCTAATCACCTTTTTTGTGGCTTATAAATGTGACTTAATTATTCCAGTGTGAACATCCAGTTTTCTGAGAAACCATGACTTATGGCCTGGTTTGAGATTGCCGATGTGAGAAACTTAAAACAAAAAATACTAGACAATATTAAAAACCTTATGAAACCAAAGCTGTGTATCAAAAACTAATCGATTTTGTTTAAAATAAAAATAAATATATATTTTGACATTTATAATTTGTTAATTAAAATGTCT